TTGAAACATTTTGCCAGAACATCCATGGGACTGACAAATAGTTTGAATTGTCTAAGACAAATGATAAAATTCAGGAGGTGACCTTAAAAATAATAACCAGATTATATTAGGGATGTGGGTAATTTTTATTTTCCTTGTTAATTTTTGTCTTCTTTATGTAGCCAAATAGCCAAATGCCTTTATCCAAATAATAACTCTATGAGGCAGGTGCTATGATTTTATGGTAACAATGATTCCCCATTACATTGCTTTAAAGCCTTATAATGTTTTCATTCATTAGTTGGAATGGTTTTGTTCTGTTTTGTTTTATTTACATTTGAGGAATTAGTCAAAGAGGTAAAACAACTTGGAGTAATTAGAGAAATGGTAGCAAAGCAATGCTTCTTGTTTGGGGTATCTCTTTCTAGAGTTTCTGTTTTTACTACTGTTAACTTTTGAAGTTAAGAGCCTAGCTTTGTTTACTCATGTAATTCATCTAAAATTTGGTCTAGCAAATAATCAAAAAGAGAATCAAAATTTGGGGAGAAAATGTTCATAAAGGCAAAACTCAGTCACGGAAATGAAATAGAACATAAAGTGTCCTATACTATGAAACGATTAATCATGGCATGGACTATTACGCAAGCATTCAAAATTATGATTTAGAAAAGGTTAATCAGTGTAGTAAATACTCACTATACACGTCAAAGGGAAATGCAGGATACAAACTGTATAATTCTAATACTGGGGTTGTTTGTGTCTGTTCAGAAAGAAAATTCCACTGGGCAACTGAGTTCTGATTCTAGTCTTGCCTTGTCACTTGTTTTATGACTTTGAGTAACAATTTAACTGCTCTGTATCTCAGTTTCCACATCACAAATCAGTTTAATACATTTGTTTCAATAGTTAAAAAATTAATCCAGGAATAGCGGTGCAAGCCTGTGATCCCAGCACTCAGGAAGCTGAGGCAGAAAGATCACCACTACGCTGGGCTATATAGTGAGTTCAAGGCCAGCCAGAAGTATATACCAAAATACTGTGTCTGAAAAATAAGAGTTAAAAAATAAATACATGTATAATAAATATGATGGCTGACATTAAGGATAACTATTAAAAATCCTATATAAAGATAGAATTGAATATAACACATAGCCTGAAAGTTGAAATGTCTTTTGAGGTGTGGTGTCTAATGTTACAATTTTATTTTTCCCCTTAATTGAATAACTATAAATTGAGTGAGATGAGGTATATTTTCCCATTGTAAGTAAAAATAATTGACCTTCAGTATTTGTTTTGTCATATTATAAGATCTACTAAACACTTAACCAGCCATTGATGGGTAGCAAAAATTTCCTTTTCAACTAGATACCTTCCCAAGTCTGAAGTTTGATGTTTTAATTCAGTTGAATATTTTTGAACTGAGAGTTTAAAGCATTTAGAGTTACTTTCATGTCAGTTAGGATCAGTACATTGATAGAAATTACAAATGGTATAAAACCATTCAAAAAATGAAAGTATTACAGGACATTCAGAACCAAATAACAGATAATGAACAATGGTTACTATATGATCTCCTACACATATTAATATCTAATAAGATACAACATGATAGAACCAATGGAAACAGAAGAACAAAAGCATGGTAGGACTTCAAAGCAAGATGATATTAAATTAGCAATGGCTGTCATAATGTCTTGTTTTCTTCAAAATAGCTGTTCATACCATCACACATAATAAAATAAAACAAAACAGAACAAAACCATTCCAACTAATGAATGAAAACATTATAAGGCTTTAAAGCAATGTAATGGGGAATCATCGTTACCATAAAATCTTATGTACTCTTACCATTTCTTACCCTAGGAGACTATACGGTATTTTATACATATGAGTTTAAGTTACTTCGCTTATGAGTATGGTCTCAAGTTGTGCCAATTTATGTATAAATATCTCAATGTGATCATCCTTTACAGCTGAGTATTAATCCATTGGATAGAAATATCACAACTTTTTTATCCATTTCTCGGTTGATGGACAGTTAGGTTGTTTCCAAGATCTGGCAATTACAAATTATGCTGCTATAAACATGGGTGTGCATATATCACTGTGGTATGATGTTTTGGGTTCTTCTGGGAATATGCCTAGAAGTGAATAGCTGGGTAGAATGGGATTTCCAATCTCAGATTTCTGAGGGATTTCCAGAGTGACCTCCACAATGGTTGCACCAGTCTACACTTGCACCAACAGTACAGGAGCATTTTTTTTTCCCCCCAGCCTCTCCACCATTTGTTGTTGGTAGTTTCCTTGATCCTGGCCATTCTTTCTGGAATGAGATGTATATGTTTGATAGTATTATATGCGAAGGTACACTCAACTATTTCAAAGAACGAGACAGTAAAGTAGCCACTATTAATATCGGATTGTCTTGTCGTGAAGTACTGTGTTGCTTAATTGTTCTGTTCTGATCTGCTTTGTTCTGTACTCTTTGTCTTAATCTCTTTAAAATAAAAAAAGTTAAAAAAAAAGAAAGAAAAATCCTGAGCTGTTACAGGGAAGTGATAGGCTGATTAAGTTTCAATTCTTGTTATTAGAAAACACTTGGAGGATGGAGTGTACAACTGAGTTTAAAACCTCTGGATTTTATGGGAATTTAGTTGGGGATCACATCCCCAAATGATTCAACACAGTGAAAATAATGGTGAATATTTTTGTATTTTCATATTGAGATTGGTAACTCTTCCTCTTGCAGGTAGCAGATTCTGGAAACAGTGTGATTAAGGCTTATGAGTACAAAATGGCACAGTCTAGAAATATGCATTCACTAAGGTAGCAACAGTGAACAGTAGCTGTGGTTTTGAGACAAAGCAAGACAACTGCTGATGATGTAGAGAGGAAACAGAAACAAAAATTATCAACTAAGATGAAGATGATGTAGTTATCTCTGGTTTCTATGAAAATCTCTGGGAGGTGTTGGCAGTATGGATGCATTGGCCCTGCTAATGGTTGAAAAACAGGAAAGTCAAGAACAAACTGGTCAAGATCATGATTTCCATGTATACAAATAAGTGAGAGAGATAAATGATAAGATTACTAAATATAAATGATTGTTCTATAATGGAGAAGGGCAGTACACTAACCATTCTTTAATTTTTATATTTAAAATTTTCTATTTGCTTGTTCAACTCACTGGAACACCAAGAGTCAGTGTCAGGTATAGGACCCAAGAAAGGTCCATGGAGAAGATGATGTAGCTGGAAAATTTCCTAAGCCCTCCTGGAGGTCCTAGTCGTAACTGTGATGGCATGGAAAAAGCTTAAGTGACATGTATTCCAAATTACATATTTCTCACCCTGTGAATAGAGAAAAGAATTTTGTATAAAGACGAAGGCATATGCCTTCCAAACCAATAGTTTCTATGGTATTTGGGATTTCTTTGAGGCAAATGACCAAAGCCTTGAAAATATTATGTTACTGAAGTTTTAAATCTTTAGATTTTGACCTACATCCACTGAAATAAAGTGTAAGAGCTGATTTGAGACAGAGCCAGTCTACAATATCACAGTGACAATGTGGACAAGGAAGTGTATTCCCATGCACATTTTGAAGGTCATTCTGTCATTTTCTCTGCTTAATATTTATGTCCCTATGTAACATTTCAGAATGAAAAAAAAAAGAAACTACAAATTGGCATAAGGCCAATATAGAGATTATTTCTCATTCATGTTTAGAATTATTCTAAAAATATTGCATTTTAACTGTTAAGAAAAATAAAAGGGAGAAGTTTTATGATAGTGATCACATTATTTTATTCTAGAAATTTTGCTTTTTTTCTTCATTAAAGAAATCTTTGAATTTTAATAGAAAAAATATACACCATGATATATTAATATATCTACCCATTGTGGGATGGCTACATTGAATTGTTTAACATGTGCATTACCTCATACTTATTTTTTGTGGTAAGAAGACTTAGAAATCCATTCTCATTAGGGAAATGTTATTATCTTTGGAGCTGTCTCAATGATGAAGCTACTTGAGCTAGGGATTATGCTGAAATAGTTGGACAAAAAGAGATGGGAAGGCTTGTGACTGTCACTGCTCTGTTCAAAAAATTCTCAGAAGAATTGATACATTTTTAATATTATAATCTTTTAAATTTTTGATTAACATATAATATTTCTACATACTTATGAGGTCCAATTTGATGTTTTAGGGCTTCCTTATGGTGCAGGAAACTGAACTGTGGGCCTCACATATGTTAAGTGTGTGCTCTATCACTAAACTATAGCTCCACCCTCAATGAGATGTTAAATTCATGTGTATATGGAATAATGATCACCTTGGGGTGATTAGAATATCTATGACATTAAATTTTTATAATTCTCTATGGAAAGTTCATTCAAAGTCTTTTCCTCTATTTAATACATTAAACATATAATGTATTATGGTTAATTTTATTCACCCTCTGTGCCATAGTACATCAGAATTTATTTCTTCTTACTATAACATCATATCCATTACCCACCTTTTACCAATATCTTCCACTTACCCAGTCTTGAATAACCACAGTTATACTCTCAACGTGTACAAAATCAAGTTTTTACAATTTTATTTATGAAGGAGGTCATGTGGTGTTTGTCCATCTGTGCCTGACTTATTTCACTGAACATAATGTCCTCCAGTTATATCCATATTGATGCAAATAACAGAATTCCATCTTTTCATGGCTGAATAGGATTCCATTCTGTATATATATACCACATTTTCTTTACATATTCCTCTACTGATGGACATTCAGATTGTTTATTACGGCACTAGTCAAATTAATTTACATAATTTCTTAAGGAAAGGCTAAAAAAATCTTGATCGAGGAAACAAGGTTATTCTGCTATTCATACTATTATGAATTTGGTTTCCCTGAAAGCTATCAGAGTTTCAGAGTACCACTGCCTCATAGTTTGTCTCTCTCTGTCTCTCTCTCTCCCCCACCCTCCCTACCCCTCCCCTCCTTCCCCCTCCAGGTCTCCTATGTAAAAGCGATTGACATCTGGATGGCGGTGTGCCTTCTGTTTGTGTTTGCAGCCTTACTGGAATATGCAGCAGTGAACTTTGTCTCCAGGCAACACAAAGAGTTCCTGCGTCTCCGAAGAAGACAGAAGAGGCAGAATAAGGTACAGTTAGCCCTCAATACAAAGTCATGTAGAGGTTAACAGGCAATGTATCTTAGAAAACAAGAACATAGAATGAGCAAGAAGTTGAAGTTAATTTTTGTTATGATTTTTCCTAGCACAATTAATTATGGCTCATGTCATTCCCTAAAACTTTTGGGCATAATTTTCCAGTTTATCAAATAAAAATAGGGGGCATGTGGGTAAACTTGAATGGATGGATGTGAAGCAATATTTAGTATAAGTATGTCCCAAATAGTGCATGGGATGTGTTTATACTAAAATATTTGTTTATCTGAAATGCAAAGTTTTATAGGGCTGTCTGTATTTTATCTGGCAACTAGGTATGAAGAATCAACATGACAAAATTACTTAAAATCCTATTTTGAATACTGATCATTTATGTGTCAAGATTGTGTGTGCATATAACTGATTTGATTGACTTTTTTATCATTTGCTCCAGTTTTATGCAAATACTGACATATTCATAAAGACTGCAACTTGATAAATCTAGACCAATCTCATTATCTCAATTTAAACTTTAATGAAGTAACTTAACCTTTGCACCATCCAGAGACTTGAAATTTGAAATGTAAAGGAGTTTCCAAACTTGTTTGCATTTGAAATTTTTTTAAAAATCCAAAATTTTGGCCACATCAAACAATTAAATACCAATTTCAAGATGTGACACAACAGATATCATGTAGTTCCATGGCAATTCCAGTGTGGGGACATATTTGAAAATTACTGCTTTGATTTATAACCCAGTTCCATATAGAACATCAGAATTCTTGCATCTATCTTCTGTTTCAAACTCTGGTATAGAAATATATCCTTTGATATAGAGAATGTTACCTATATAATAATGTTGTTAGAGAACAAAATTAAAATCTTACACACAATAGACTAGACTTTCCAAAAATCTGTGTCCTCTAAAATTTAATAAATTAAATCTGCTGAAGCCACAATTATATGCTGCTACATTGTAGCAAATGCAAAAATATTTCACTGTCAAACTAAATGCTTCCAAATATCTAAATGTAAAGCTGCATGTTTGCTGTTAGATATGACTTACATTGAGAGATTTACACATGTAAGCTCACTGAGTCCTGACTGTATCCTGCACATACTCTAAAAAAAGATAAATATATCCAGCTGCCTGCCCTGCCTCTAATTCACTGCTACATTTTAGAACATTCTGTCCCCTTGCAGCCTACGGACAACAAACTAATATGCACATATATCCTCCCAGCATCTGGGAGACTGAGGCAAGAGAATCGCCGTAAGTTTGAGGCCAGCACGGGCTACATAGCTACTCCAAGGCTAGCCTGGACTGCATTGTGAAACCCCATCTCAAAAAACAATAAAAATGTATTCATTCATTAATTTATTGAATAGCTATTATGCTAAGCCAAGGTATTCATGGAATACAGTAGAAAATGAGAGACATAAAGAAGTAAATAATATATTAGAGCAATAGGGAATTATGGTTCACGTGAAGGATTTCAGGTAAGTACAAAAGATTTAATTTATTCTAACTGAATAGAATACCTTCAGCAGTTTTAACATTACAAATAGGCTATTTAGCCTATAGTGAAGAGTAGCAGCAGATAGGTTATGGGCTATAACAGAAATATAGGTAAGACATGGTATTGGTTTAAGCTAAGCCACTGGTCATAAGAATGGAGGGAAATGGTCAGATTCAGGTTTCATTCCACAAATGGTTGCTTTATTTTCTACTAGAATGTGCCAAGCATCATCAATCTTTAGACTACATTGTTGAACAGTACAGGCAAAACCCAATTCTTTAATAAAACGTACATCTAATTGTTATGCTTTGAAGGTAAAACCAATTGGTCATTCTGATTCATTTCATATGAGGTGATAAGCAAAAGAAAGAAATTGACTATAAGTCACAAATTTTTAGGTTAAGCAACTCAGTGGTTGGTGTTACTATTTCTTAAGATGGGGACTATTGTGAGAGCTAGATTTAGGCTATAATTCTGGAATCACATTTTTACCCTAAGAAGTTTAGATGCCTATGAGACAAGCTTGCAAGTAATTAGATAAATATATGTGCTTGAGTAAGAAAGAAAATCTAGAAATATATTTGGGAATGACCATCAAGCACATAATATTTTAGATTTGTAAAACTGAATGAAATCACGCGCTGAGAGAATGGAAATTAAATGGCTCTGAGAATAGAGCACTCTATCATTTAGGAAGCCTGTCTAGAGTAAGTTGAACAGAAAAAAGAATAAAGGAAACTGATTGACCTTAGATATCACTTGCAATTGCTTCTGCTGGGTAGGGGAGCACAGAAGGTGGTATGGAAGAGGATTCTTGTTCGTGGAAGGATTTTTCCAATATAAAAGATGAAAGAACATGTTTGACAAAGTGAAAAAGAAGACATTAATACTTCGAAGAAAGCAGAGCATAATTTCAAGAACAAATGTCTTGAGAAAGTGAGAAAGAATAAAATCCAGTTCAAAAAAATTGGTGTTATATAAGACATGTATTTCATTCACTTTAAATGCTTAAATTATTGACAATTCATTGATGAAGACACTAAAACACAGAAACATTGTATAATTTGTCCATGCTCTTGAGCCAAGAAATGGCATAGCAGAATTCTAAATAAAATTTGTTTCTAGAGTCCATGTGCTTCACCACTGTATAGCCAAAATGGAAGATGCTGGTTAGTTGGTCAATTTTATAATGTAAAATGTAGGACCTTCCAACTAATCGGCTGAGACTTACTGTGGAAAGGACTGTAGAAAGATTGTGGGGAAAAGTATATATAGTAAATAGCAGTTTTACAGTTACAAAACCAGAACCCTAAGATAGATGGAGTCAGAATACTCAGACAAAGACTGTGATGTGTACACATGGAATTTATGGTTATGAATTTACAGTGTGAAGAATCAGCAAGCGAGTGTTTAACTCCAACAACCCTTCAGACTCAGATTCAGGTACCTAAGTGTACAGCCAGTTAACTACAATTATAGTTTTGCTGAGTAAAAAAGTAGAAAGAGGACAAAGAGTATGATAGAGTTTGGAGGAAGAATGGAAGGCAGGAAGTATGAAAGAAAGAGTTAAAGAGGTTCACAAGGGAGTGGTCATAATGAGGAACCAGTAATCAGGTAGATGAGGAAGAACATGAAGGAGATACTGGCTCTTCACAGGAAACTAAGATTAAAAAAAAGGTTATGGCGGTATGAGTACATGACTAAGGTTGGAAACAGGAAAAAGTATGGACAAGTAGTCTAGAAATAGAGAGGTCTAGGATGAGATCAATAAACCATATAGATACACTTCTTCTCCCTGAGTATTACTGAGTGGTGAGTCAAGAGGGATGTAGGGGCTGAAGTCATTAACTAATAAGAAACTGTGGTAAGGTGCTGGTAGATAACAGCATCTATAAAGGAAATTAATAGTGAAATTACTGACCAGAATTTCAAAGATACCAAAGGAGCTGTTTGAGGAAAGGGAAGATATGGGTGCTACAGTGCACTCATTACTAAATTACTAAAGATTACATGAGAGTTTTTAGAGATACTAGTTGACAGAAAAACTGCTTTGTTTATTTTTTAAGTACTGACAAAGGTAAATGCTTTACCTAGAAATTTTTTTGAGTTTGGAGATCTCAAAATTAATGTTTAAAACACTAAGTTGAATGACTAAGGTTATGAGTTGGGTAGTGGGAAGGAAGGGAGTAAAACAAATCATGCTTGATCTTTGTAGTCAAGGCTCCTAGTTATCACTGATGACTAAATTTTGAAAAGAAAAAAGAAAAAGTCATTTCCAAATTATTTGTACCTAGGGAAAGGCAGAGATTATCAATTTTTAGAGGCTGAACCATGATAAGAAACAAATGGCAGCAGGACCTTTCACTGAGGCTTTACTACATGCCAAGCACTGTTTTCAACACATTATATATAGCACTTACTTAATCTCCACTACAATTCTTGGAACAGTACAGTTATACAGACAGAGCCTACTTTATGTAGGAAAATCCTGTTTTATACCAGTAACTTGTGTGATTTAGTACTTATCCCACAGGTTCTTTATTTTAAACAAAATATTTTATTAATAATTTCATTAAAATAAACTTTCTGGATGTGGTGCCACCATGCCAGGCAGGAGGATCACAAGGTTAGGCCCAGATAGGGCAATTTGGTGTTTAGTAAGACCCTACCTCAAAATTTTAAAAAATTTAAGACAGAGTTGGGTGTGTAGCTGAGTGCTGACAAAACCCTACCATTAAAACAATCCTGACAAATACTCCTAAACAGTAATGAGATAATACACTGCCACAAACCAACATGAGATAAAAAAATATTCCTTCCAATGAGAAGTGAACTTCTGTGAGGCCAAAGTAAATGACTCTGCCAATTTGCAACTTAGATGTACAACTTTGATTACAATTACAATGCGGGTCTTCCTGGAAGATTAAGAAGGAAAAAGATTCCTTGGAAAATGAATACATATATTTGCTAATTAAGACCCTTTACTACATTGTCAATCCCTTATAAAAATCCCAGCCTCTCACTCTGAGGGACAGCCTCGTGGACCTCGCCCATTGCTCTCTTGTAGTGCATCAATAAACTCTACATTTCTATATTCCTTGATAGTTGGTAAACTCTTACTGCCCACACTACAGACCCTCCATATGTCACTGTAAATGACAGATGCAAAGGCCTATGGTTCAATCTCCAGTACTAAAAGAGAAAAATGGGTTTATTGACTTCCACTTTATACATCTGACTTCTGTTTTGGTGTGACCTCTCTAGTGTGGGGTAATGAATATGCAGTGCCTTAGTTATTTTTCTCATTGCTGAGACAAAATACCCAACACCCACAAGTGAAAGCAGGAAAGGTTTATTTTAGTTCACAACATGTAGAGGTTTCAGGTCATAGTCAGCTGGCTCCAAGGCAGAGTCGTATGGCAGAGGGGCATTAGAGAGGAGAAATAATCCATGGCGTTATAGGCAGAAGGCCGC